CTCTCCTTCCCTCTCACTTGCCCCTATCCTCTCTCTCTACCCTCTAATAAGACCCCCATTCAGGAAAAAAAAAGGGCATTTAAACCCCAAAAAAACAATCCATCCGTGGACAAGAACTGCGCTATACCTGAATCTAAGCAATGAACCAAACCAATTAAATTCTTTCTTTCAATTAACGAATATCAAGAAAAGTGGGCATCTAAAAGTAGAGCTGAAAGGTTTTGGTCAGAAGTAGGCGATGATGGGCCACATATAAAATGAAGTTAGATATGCGAAGATAACAGAAATTATATGGTAGCGAAAAACATGAAGAACACTGGATTGATTGTTAGGAAACTGCTAAAGGCTGAAAAATAAACAGATAAATTTTAAAGGAATTTAAAAATCCTTTAAATAATCAAAGGCAAATATTGGGAGGCAGGGAGGGAGGAAAAAGCAGAGAGAGTAGGGAAGACAGAGAGAAGGGCAGAGAAGGGGCAGAGAAAGGGCAGAGCGGAAGAGAAAAAGGCAAGGAGAGGAAGAAAGGGGGAGAGAGAAGTAAAGAAAATGGCAAAAAGAGACTCTTCAAAGTTCTCAAACTCTCCAAAGTTTGTTAGAATAAAGTGTAAGAAGGTGAAATTTGTTTTCAAAAGTGTTCACCTATTTGGACATGTGACAGAAGCAGCAAAAGTAATAACATCTTGCCCCAGGGGGCACAAATCAGACAAATGAGGCAAAGTTATAAGGACTCTGATACCAGGTGATTACAGAGAAATAACTGTAATAACCAGAACTGTCCGCTAGTCTTCATTCTGCAGTGATAGCTCTTTTTTATTAGGTGTAGTCTAGCTGAAGCCCCATAACCATGCATCGCGATAGCATGAAGGTTAATGGCACTGGGTAATAACAAATCACAACTGTTGAGAACTCCAGAAACAAACCCTCCCACTTGGCCAACTGTTTGTTGTACAGATCAGCCCACTTCTCTTCCAGGAGCTTCAGTGCTGACAAGCCCTTTGATTTCAATCTGAACCCTTCAAGGTGCATGACCACACTGCAAATAAGAGGCCTCAGAAGTTCGTGCCAGGTCTGTAATTCTACACTCTGAACTTAGGTTTCATGGAAAGATCTCTACCAGTGATTTGTCTTAATCTTTTAAACTCTGAAAGACCATGACTAGTTAGGACCTAGGAGTTTTAACCGTCGAATGTCCCTGAACGACCTCCTCATGGCTCCGCAACGCTATGGCCTGCCTTAGGTAGAACCACTGGCATTACTGGCATGTTGTAAAGAGGGAAGGAAGAGAGATGAGGCAACAACAGCTCACTTGTTTTCACACTGCACGTAACTGGTTGTCCTGACTCACTTATCCACACAGTGCTTCCTCTGCATTTCGGTGGCTCACTGTGCCAGCTCTAGGAAAACACTTACTCCACTGCTGTAGTTACACACTTAGAGGGTGTATTTCCATCACAAGGCTACGAACCCACAGGTGAGAGGAGCAATGTTTTACCTTATCTACAAGCCCAGCAGTTCACACAAAGCTTGGCACACAACCAGGACCTCAAAAAGGATGCACGAACCATTCTAATACCACTAGGAAATCAATGTGATGTTTAACATGAAATAACTCAAAGAAAAAGTTGATATAATTGGTGATACTTAACTGATATTTATAAAACACAGCTGAAAGGAAGTAAATATGTAGTACTTGTTATCATTAAATATAAAAACCATAGTTAAGTAACTAAAAAACTTTATACTTACTCTACGATGACTATTTCCTATATCATCTCTAAATCACAAAGTAAACATCTTCATTGACTTCAATATTAGAAGTCTTTCTGTTCAAAAGTTAACGTGGTTTGCTATTTTTACAGCAAATACCAACTCTTAAATATATA